ATTATTATTATTATTATTATTATTATTATTATTATTATTATTATTATCTTGTATGGCAGACTCTAAACTCTAACTTTAAATGTTTTTTTTAACTCACTGTTTATTTCACTGTTTTCTTTTCCAGGTAGAAAATTGAAAGAATAGCTTAAGGCTTTATAGATAGTCTGTATAGTTCATTTCACACCTGTGCTTTCATGTGATGCTCTGAGGGTTTCTTTTCAAATCGCTGTGGACACTTATTGGCCCAGACTTTAGGCACTTGCCATGAATCAGGGGATAATCCCAGAGTTATGCGAGTCAAACCAGGTGACAGCAATAAGAACCGACTTTTTATCTCCAAATGACGTCATCAGCCGTTCTGTCACTGCCTCTGGGCCCCTGTTTCCAAAATATGGACCTCCCAAACATTCAACTTGGGACAAAAATGAATTAACCAAAAGATGTTGATGGCGTTTGAACAGAGCCCCTAGTGGCTGTCAGAGGTATTGCACCCCACAGGCCCCTTACTCTGATTTAACATCCATCCAGGTTTTCAGGACTTCATCTCTTCAGGGATCCTTTAAACACAACAGAAAACTGTTTTTGTGTTTTAAAAACAAGTTTATGTGATGGTAAAACTTCAGCTTCTTCATTTTTCTCAATTGGTCTGTTCCTGATATTGCTAAATAAACATATTACATTATTCTTGTCATCGTGAAATCCAGGAGTATTTAAATCTATTTAAATCTATTCTCATATTTGACTCAGCTTTTGTTCTTGGCTTTTGCCAGACAAAATAACAATGCCAAATAATGAAATGAAAGAATGTTGTCCATTATTTAAGGCAAACATTTGATCTATTAACATTTAATAACTAATTTCTTCCCCCTGTGAGCAATAGTTCTGGCTTCAACACCCGGATCATTTTACGGCATTAATTAGAACTAATTCTGTCTATAAAGAACAACTTTCTATTAATGTTAGATAAGAGTTTATTCATTATTATAAACCGTGGCAGCTTTGTGTATAATAACCCCCTCATAACCCCTCATAACCCCCTTATAACCCCCTCATAACCCCCTTATAACCCCCTCATAACCCCTCATAACCCCCTCATAACCCCTTCATAACCCCCCTCGGATACTAGAGCTTCTTCTGCTCTGCTCAGAGGCAGGTGCTTTTCTTCCTGTCCGATCTATAGTTCAGCCCACATGCGAACTTTTGATACGAGCCAGCAGCCGGAAGTGGTTTGTGCGCGTTATGGAGGCTTTACAATAAGAGGCGCGCGTGGCTCTCTGAGCTCGTGACGAGATGAGGCGTGCTGCTTGATGCTTTTGTCCGTTTCTCACTTCACTCTGCAGGTCGTTGGAAACACGCTTTTGATGGGACTATTTTCTGTAGTTAAACTAAAACGTTTTGCGGCTATAATTAGACTGTAATGAAAAAACGCGTGCGTGGGAGTTTTTGGTCGCGAGCCGTTAACTGACTTCCAAAAGTTGTTAGACTTTGTTTCGGGTGAGAGCGCGCGCTAATCCTCCCCGCGTGGGGTGTGGGGGGGGTCCAGGGTTACTTTTGGTCGTGGAGCAGAGGCGCGCTCATTAAACTTTTGGGTCACGCGCTCGTTCGCACCATAGCGGGCGCATAGCTGGGACCAATCAGAATTGTCCCCGGTTTAGTGGTGGAGTTTGGGGGGGGGGGGGGGGGGGGGGGTTTTTAGCCCGCTAAAAATACCCTGAAGCAGGTTTATTTCTAATACGCGCTCTCGGGTCACAACTCTGGAGGAAGCTCGTGCGCGGTGGGCATTCATTACGCGCAAACAGATGATGCCCACGCAGCTGTAAAACTCAGGAGGACACTAAACTAAACACGCCCCACGGGGACAGAGTTGTTTTGCAGCCCTGTCCAAACTCTAAACTTGGAAAACTTCCCGGCCAAGCAAAAAAAAAAAGGGAAACATCTCACAGCTCACGTGGAAAAAAAGAAAAGAAAAGAAAGACAAGCAAGAAAGGATAAAAAAAGCAGATCCACGCGCGTAAATAACCCGAGAACTCATCCTACCAGGTATCCTGCACCTGCACCTGGCACCATGACGCGGAGATACTGCGCCATTTACGCGGTGGGGATCCTCTGCGCGCACCTGCTGGTCATCGGCATCGCGCTGATGGCCGCCCAGGTCTTCCGAAATCTAATGCACAACCGCCTGAAAAAGGTAAAGCTCCACTTTTATCCGCAGAAATGGGTGTTTCCCTGCACTGCTCTCTGCATGTTGAGTCCGTATAGAAAGATGGAGGAAGCTACAATGATGGGATGCCCAATCCATTCTTTAATTTTTGCCTAAACACTTTTTTCCTTACAATGGAAAGTGAAAAAAAATCTATTGTTTGTAGTACTGAGCATAAAATCTTGTCAAAAATCTCCATCATCATAAAAATTGTTCTCTCGCCCATAAAAAAGGATGCAGAATGTTTTTGCAGCCTGCATCCAAAACAAATCATTGATCTGTTTCTGCTCTAAATTGGAATAATATGGTTTAATGTTGAAAAAAAGTCAACTTTTAAATTATGTTTAGCTGCACACATTGTTCCACACTGTTTTTAATTTGGAAAAAAAATGTTTTAGTGAGTTTTCCAGCTCTTTCCAGGAGTTTATATTTGTTTTAGATGATCGGTGGCTTTAAATGACTTATTAAAGTGAGAATTTTTCTTGCAAAAAAGTATCAGTTGGTGATAGCTAGTGTAAATCAGTTTCCATCTACTGACGCAGAGCTCTGCAAACCATCTGGACAGCGTTAGTTAATTTGTATTTCTTCACAATGCTGCTTGCGCACACCGCATGTTTCCAGCGTTTTTTCCCATAGGTGGCCCAGCAGAGGTCCCGGCCTGTCCAATTCCAGATTCAGGAGATTAAGAAGATGATCACAGATGTCAGTAAATGAAATAGTAAAATACGTGAAAGATAAATATGCAGTTTATTTATAAAGCGCAAATAACAGATGTGATCTCCAGGCTCTTCAAAATACTGTCCAATTCAAGCAGGCTAGACTCTAATCCATTTCATTACAATCGTAATCTAATCAATTCCAGTTCATTAAATTCAAAATGCACCATATAAGCCAATTAAAGAAAAGGTGAAAACCAGCAGATTGCCCCAAATCTGGCCCTCGACCCGTCCAGAGATCACACAGTGTGACTTGGACAGCTTAAGAGATCAAATTCAAACCCTCAAAACTAAGAAATTGAATATCTGCAAACTAATGATCTAAACACTTTTTGGACTTTTATCCTTCCTAAACACATCAGGAGAGAAGCTCCCCTTCATCCATTCATTCATCCATCCATCCATCCATCCATCCATCCATCCATCCATCCATCCATCCATCCATCCATCCATCCATCCATCCATCCATTAATCCATCCATTCATTAATCCATTCATCAATCAAATACCATCCATCTAATCATCTAAAGCCTGTTTAAACCAACGATAACCCTCGGTTATCTCGTACTTCTGTGGTTCTTTCTTTGGGTCATATCTTTTCTGGAACCATAACAGTCAAGGGTCGGCCACTTTGGAGTCTTTTTGCTTTTGTTATTTCGTCCGTCCGTAAATCTTTCAGTCATCTTTTGAATCAAAGTTTGTTTATTTTGATGGCGTCGTGGCCCTGGGCCTTAGCACTGTGTCAGCGGTGGACGTGAATCCATCTCTGATGTTAAAAGCCGACAGGAAATGGAAACATCAACACACTGCTGTGTACACACTTCCGCAGGGGGTTTTGCAGATGTCTGATCTTTGGTCCCTGAGGTGGAAGGTTCAATGGACAATGGACACAGATACACACAAGCGGCCCGTTTTAATGTGATGAAAAGAGCAAAAACACACCGAAAACACCACTGAAACTGCTCATATCTGGATTCCAATGGCGGTGAAAGGATGGAGATGGGGGGTTGAAAGTAGGTCACGGCATTTATTTAACGCACAGTTGATCGTTGGAGAGAATGAACATGTCGGCATTAATTAAGACGGCAGATGCATCAGCACAAAGGAGTCCATCACAACCACTCACTGAAGGGAATTTGTGATTGTCAGAGAGGAAATATCTGCCAAAGAAAACACAGAAAGACCCCCAGCTGCTAACCAGCTGTTTGATAAACCCCATTAGTTTGACTGTTCAATAAGAACATTAAAGGTCCTGTTTTCAGTTCTTAATCTTATAAATGGAGACCGTAACAGCCAACACGTTCAAACCAATCCTTGTTGTGCACCCCGCACGGAAATCCCCACTAAAACTCTTCTCACGCTAGCAGACTCACGAGCTGAATCCATCTTCTGTTTAATGGAGTTGTTCAGAAAAACATCTGGAAAATATCAGGAAACGTTGGAGTTTGGACTACTTGCGTGGAAGGAGTTGAGCAACTGTGTTGAACAAATAAAGTTCAGGATGCCGTTTTACTGATAGAAGCTGGCACTGAAAGAGATCACAGGAGGGCTTCAAAGGCATTTGAACCCCCAAAAGCTGGCTGTGACCGAACATTTCCAAATGAATTAATGAATTAACCTGACTTTGGGCCTTCGGGATACCTGGGAGGCTGCAAACGGAGAGTACACAGGAAGCAATCGTCACAGAGGGGGATCTCACAGTGCATGAGAATTCACTATAGAGCCGCCAAATAGGCTTGACTGCTCCAAGGAGGTCGTGTCCTGTGAAAAAGTTGCTGGCATTACGCAGTGGAACATCAGCGATCTGCTGGGAAAGCAGGAAGAAGTCGCAGCAAATGTTAGTTTTAAGGCTAAAGAATGCAAACAGCTAAATAAAAAAGGCCTCGTGCAGAAAGAAGCTGTCTGATAAGCTCAAAACCAATACATCATTATATGAGACAGACTCAGATGCTGTTGGGAATCTCTGGCACGTATGAAATTCATGTGTATCTTACACCAAATGCCTAGGAGTTGAGTTACAGATGGAGGTGGATGATCTCCTACAAGGCTCACAAGCAGATAAGCATGTGCACGGCGTACAAAATAAGACAGGCGGAGGGTTATGAAGGTCCGAAATGAAGCAGAGCTCCAGCACTGGGGAGGGTCAGATTGGGCCACACTGATAGGACCAATGGGCCAGAAGACAAGTGTTTGAATCTGTGGTGACTTCAAGGATTGGAGGACAGATTTACATCAGGGTTAGCAAAGAAACGGAAGTTGGTGAAACATCCAGGAAGTATCTCGTAATAAAGACACACAACGGCCTCATTTGGACAAACGTCTCATTTTCACTGGTTTTTAAACAGAAAACCATTCTGGCTCAGCCCAAGGCGGTATTATCCAGATCAGAAACGTAAGGACTGAGATAAAAAAAAAAGTAAAAAGAAATTGTTGTTTTGGGATGCCGGAGTGAAGGAATTAGGGCATTCCTGAATGCGCTTAAGCCCGAAAACGTGAGTCAGCTTCCCTCGTTCTTAATCAGTTTCCAGAGAACCTTTCAGCTGTCTTATCTGAAAAAGTCAAGCAGAAGTGGGGAGAGGACCCCGGAGGGTCTGAGCAGCTCAGAGCCGCCGGGCCACTTTGATCTCGACCTGTCCTTCGATCCTATCGAACAAGAGCTGGATCTGAACCCCCAGTTCCACCTCAGAGTCCCTAATCACAGATTTACAGAGAAGAGCTCACGGATACGGGGACTAAAACGGTTTAATCAGTATTTTTGTGTTTTGAAGACCATAAAAGACCATCTGCAATTGGCAGAATATGCACCCACGTGCAGATTTGAGGATTTTCCTACCACACAGGACTCAGCAAAACCGTATATCCAGCCTAGCTATTTACCTCCAACTGAAAGCAATTTTAATGCTAATGTGCTCAATTTAAGTGCTTAGTTTTGACTACTGACAGATCACAAGGTGGTATATAAAGCTCTATGTGCGATCTAAGAATAAAAAAAACACCTTTTAACTCCAAGTTTTATTAGTACTGCTAAAAATGGTATTTTTAGCAATCTCGGCACATAAAGGGTTGAATACTTGAATAATACAGCTTGTAGTGGCTCTTTTTAGTAGCAACAGCTCAGCATTTGTTTATCATTTAAACTTGCTTTGGAGCACAACTTTTCTGCAACGTGGGGATTAAACCTATGTGCCTATGTTTTTTTTTCATTGTAGTTTAGAGACACGTTCCCCATTACTATGATAACAGCACAGGTGTGAGATCCCTGTTGTCCTGCTTTCCACATGACACGCCTTCCTTTTTTTATTTTCATGCCGCGCCTGCCTCTGCCTAACAGGTGTCAGATTGCTTGTCTTGGCCCGGTGGAGCTTTGGCCGTGGGGGTTGAGGGGACCACTCATGAGGCTCTTTACTCTAATCTGTAATGCAAATAGCCGGCGCGATACAGAACAGTGGGTTTATCTTAGCTTAAACGGGACCACGGGCTTTTTTTTAAAAACTCAGTAATATGCGGTTAATAAGCTGTAAATAAGTCACTGCTCATAAGTCATATCCGCTAAGTGACGTGCTGTTGAGGTTAAGTAAAGCGTGTTTGGTTATTTGACTGTTCGGGGCATTTTCAGGTCAAGGCCTGGTACGCCGGTCTTTGTTCGGTTGGTTATGAGCGAAAAAAAACCCTCTCTCTTTAACACTCTGAATAAGGCAGGCAAGGGTTGTGGTAAAGAGATAAGGGGGAGTATTGGCATTCCACCAGACATATGGTCAGCTCCAGATAGCCCATGTGTCCTGTGCTCTAAGTCCTCTGCCACAAACAGAAAATACACGTTAAAACGTTTCTGTGATCCGACTAATTCTGCGTCACCAGTTCGTAAATGGAAAATGTCTCCAAATCCACCGGTTCCTATCCCGTTCAGCCATGTGGGATCTGTCGGTGGGTGTGTCTCGCTTGTTTAAAACTCACATTCCCTCACACATGGTTATCGCCCAGCCTGGCAGGATGATGTATGGGAGCTGTATCCAGTTACAGCTTCACACCAGTCGCACCAGCATGGATCTCTTCCCATGGACACCTTCCCAGCAGCAGGCTCTCTTTGTGGGATAAGCTCCTTTTTCATCCTTTTAAGTTTATTGGGAAAAAGATGCCTCACGGCTTAAAAAAGGCTCCCAGAGTCAGTTTGTCACAACCTGCTGTACATAGAAACATGTACATATAAATATGTACATGCATATAAAATAACAGTGTTGGGATGGTCTTATGACAGTGTTTTTACTGTAAATTTATTCAAATATTCACTTTTAACCAAGCAAGGATCCAGGGGTGGTAAAAACAAACCAGCTCCCGGAGTTAAACTCCAAGTGTTCTTATCTCTCACATTCGTTATATAATTTCCCTTTGGGATATATTAAGTGTTTTTTTTATTTGATTTCACGTTTCATCCATCTTATCAGTGCCCAAAACTGGTAATATCTGACGATCTGAACCTAACTCGGAACAAAAAAATCAAACAGAGGCGGGTGTAATGTGATTTGTGTCGGCCCGAGCTGAATCCCGAATTTAATCCGAAACTAATTGAATCTCCATATCTAAATGAATATCTCTGATCAATCACAGACGTTTGGCACTGTCACCTTTGCGTTGCCCGTTTGATCGAACACATGGCCGACCCCAAAAATAGCACCTATTCTCAGACTATTGAAATGTTTCTTTAAAGCCATAAATGTGAACATGTTTCTGTTGGAGAGGAAAATCTGGGCATCTTAGGTCTGCTGAATGGCCTCGCATTTGCTTTTCCAAGATCTGATCTTATACAATGGAGAAAAATAAACAAAAATGCACTTTTAATGAATTAAACTGCGACGTTTTGGTGATAAATAAGCCGCTAAAAGTCCTCCAGGATGCTGGTTAACGTGATTCCGATGGGCTCACTTGCAATAGCGGAGGACTTCAGCCGCTTTTGCTTTTGTTCTGCTGTTGTTGAGGCAAAGCCCTCCGGAGTATGTAAAGCTCCTGCCCGGTCACCCTGGGACTTACTGAAATAACCCTTTTTTTTTTTGTGCTCCGTGCTGCTCGCGTCCGTCCACATCAAAGCCGCAGTTTTGGAGCGTGTTTGTGTATTCACCTTCTCGTGTGTTTTCTGTGCAGGGAGTGGCTTAGCAGCAGCAGTAGTAGTGGTGGGCACGGAGATGAGAGGCCCTTTTTCTGTTCCTGTTTTCCGCGTACTCTTAAGTGGCGTGCTGTGAGAATCTCGGGGATTGTTCAAAGCGCAAAACAACCCGGACAGAGCGTGCACTCTCCTCCACAATGTGAGGTGGCAGCTTTATTGTGATTCGCTCGCCGCTTTTGTCCCGGGACACAAGTAGAAAGCACCCCGAAAAAGAGGAGGGGGGGGGGGGGGGGTAAATTCCCACGAAATAACACGGCTTCACACCGGAGTTGAAGATAGTGTTGTTTCTGTGTTGGCAGGAAAAAAATCAAAGGTCAGAGGGCAGATTTCTGCTAGATTTTCTCCAATCCACACACTTTCCCTTTTAGTTTTTTTCCGCATGCCTAAAAAGAGAATTCCTTCAAACGAGGGGGAACTGAGCCGACCTTGAGAGGCATTTAATGGGAGCTTTTTCAAAGTGTGTAATCAAACGGGGTGGGTGACTACGCTGTACCCCCCCCCCCCCGCCCCCCCCCCGCCCCCGGGGCCTCATCAAGCTCCGTCCTCAGGAATGCGGCTCAGATCATTAAGGTCGGAGTCCCGCGCAGCCAGTGGGCATCCAGCTCTCCGCCTCACATGATTGGTCGGAGACTCTCTCTCTCTCCGGGTCTCCAGGCGCTCGTTGTCAGGGGCGACGGCTGGCAATGGAGGGAAGGAAGGGTCTCCCCTCATGCCATTCATGTGTGCAGCCGGTGCTCCACTACGGCCCCCCCATGAATGTTTTTGTTCCATGGGTTGTTTTCCTTTAACTCGAAACAAGTCTCTGCTCTCGCAAAAACTCGGCATCTTTGCAGGAAATGTATCCTCAGCTGACAGTCCCGTGACGACACTTATTTTCATCGAAAGATCCCCCAAAAATCCCTTTAACGTTTGCATTTTATTAGAGGATTACACAGATATAAATAAGACTCATAATTTCATTCGGTCTTCTGGTAGACAAGACCCACAAACAAGATCATAAAAAGGTATATTTTCCTATTTTTCACACATATGAGACCTCGGCTACCTCAATTTAAGGCTCCCACGCCTTACTGTGGGAGAGAAAAACTCCATTTGGTTTCAAACTTGATGCTTCCTCACTGTTTTACCGTAGCTGTAAACTGGAGAGGGGGTTAAAAACTCTAAAGCGTGATACATGTGCGTTTTTGTCTCCCCAGGAGATCGTTTTGGTGGAGGGTAGCCGTGTGTTCGAGTCGTGGAAAATGCCGCCTCCGCCTGTTTTCATGGAGTTTTTCTTCTTCAACGTGACCAATGTGGATGAGTTCCTAGCAGGGGCAAAGCCAGTGCTCAAACAGGTCGGACCCTACACCTACAGGTAGGCCCAGTGGGGCAGCTAAATGGTAAAGAGGACGGTGGTTTATGGAGTTTGGGATGTTTTACCTCAGCTAAATTAATCTTATTCATTTTATACTAAACATACTGACAAAATATTCATCCCTCATGCAGAATGGAGATACTTTCATTTAAAGCTGCATTCATCGTCATGCAACAGAATATTTTACATAATTATTTTATTTGTATTTGTATTCTATATATTTGTATTTGTTTTTTATATTAAATGGATCAGGAGAATGTTAGTTCCGGGGTCAGGCTATTATTAACTTTGGGGGGAAAATATAAAAGAGGGGTCACGTCATTTGGGATGTGACTCAAGTAGATAAAAGATGTATTCTTTGTTCGTCAAATAAATAATATTCTTCAACCTATCTCTAGCTTGTCTTTTCCACGCCTCAGTAACGAAGAAAACAAGAATCAGTTACAGTCATATCCAAGTTTTGGGGCTTGTGTTGATTTGGTTCCAAATTCAACCACTTAAAGCCTTAAAAAATGATCAAAGTTCATTGCTAAACAACCAAAAGGGTTGCAACAGCCCAGCAGCACCCGTCCCAGACATCTAACCTTTGTTTGGTGGTTTGGACTGATCTCAAGCAGCTGTGCCAGCTGTTTGCGTAAAGCGTGATGAAAGTCGAATGCGGTGCCAGCCTACATTTTGGTGGTTTTCTGGTTCAGCTCAAGCAGTCATTTCTAACACCAACACCGTCCTTAGATATGATTTAACCTTTAAAATCAGGGGCAATGCAACCCTGTTAGCAAATTCAACACAAAGTTGCTAATGAACTGCTTTTTAAAAACATTTTGTCAAAGAGTTGAACAAAATGTTGTGTCAATTGTGTTTTGGACAGAGAATACAGGTACAAGGAAAATGTAACAATGGTGGACGATAACACAAAGGTCTCGGCCTACAACACCAAGAGCTTCGTGTTCCTGAGGGAGAAGTCTGTGGGAGACCCGGCCGTAGATAACATAACCACCGTCAACATCCCCGCTTGGGTGAGTCACGAACCAAAGGTCTGAAACTGTGGACGGGGGGAAAAAGGGAGTGCAAGTAGGGCAAAGTGGAGCGTTAGCGGTTTGTAACCCTGTGTCATCGCCCCCGCCTAACCCTGCCGGATTCATGTTTTTTTCTCCCCTTCCCAGGCCGTCATGAACAAGGTGAAAGGGAGTTTCTTCAAGTCCTCCATGGTGTCCATCTGGATGAACTCTCTGGGGAGCGGTCTGTTCACCACCCGCACCGTGGACGAGTTGCTGTGGGGCTACGAGGACCCCCTTCTGGCCCGCATCGCCCCTAGCAACCCCGAGGTGGAGTCGGTCTTCGGTCTGATGTACAAGGCACGTTCCTTTAGCCGGTTTTCGGGGGGGGGATTCGATCCGGCCCCGGGCTGCGTTCTGACCGCCCGGAACGTTTGTTTTTCCACAGAAAAACGGCAGCAACGACGGGGAGTTCGTCTTCCACACCGGCCAACAGAACCATCTGGATTACGGACGCATCGAAACGTGGAAGGGTCAAAGGTAACTCACACCAACGCACCCTGCCTCGCTTTCTTCATCCACAGGGGCGAAACTTCCTGGGGTCACTTTTAATGAGCAAGCTTCTCAAATCGGGGACTTTTTTTCTTTTTTGTCTGCTACCAGGACATCCTGGTTCTTAAAATACCTAAACGTGGGCTTCGTACCGCCTTATCTTACCCAGCTTTCTTGTCTCTGGTCTCCTGTGGTCACTCATTACTTTTTGCTCTTTTAAAAAAAGATGAAAAGCACCCTTGATCCTTGTCATTTTACCCTGTGAAAAGAGAGACCAAAGCATGTCTTGTGTGGATAAAAAAAAACTTGTGTGTCTTCAAACGGGCTCGCTAGGATTTCTGCGTCTAACAGAGTAACACATGTTGAGTCAAAACCACTCAAATCCAAATAAAGCTATCGCAAAATTTGCAGATTTTATAATACCCACGGTTTTCCTCATTGTTTTCTTAATGTTGTTTTGCAGGCAGCTGAGTTTCTGGTCCAGTAATGAAAGCAACAGCATCGAGGGGTCGGATGGAAGTGCTTTCCACCCCCTGCTCGACAAGAATGAACGCATTTACATCTTCACTCCTGACCTGTGCAGGTACAACCTGTGTTCCTCAGCTTTTAATAGCTGTTTCGTGCATGCAAAGCTTCTATCTAATGTCCCGAAAGTGCTATTCTTCCTCAGAGAAAGTGTTTTAGTGACACTCCAGTGACCAACATTTGCATGGCCCCTAACCCAGAATGGGCTGTTCTCCTCTGGGCCTCCAGAGCTATCTCCACTCAGTCAAAACTACCGAAAGCATAAGCAAGATTCTGTTGTTTTTCTGAATATGGGATGTCTTCTCGGTACCTGTCTCCATGTAGAAGAAGCCCAGGTGAATCATGTGCCATCCCGTACAGACTTTGGTTACTTTCTGCTGGGCCCAGATGAATGCATCTGTCCGGGTTATTTCTGTCAGAGCAGCTTTAGCAGAATCCGGAACTGAGAAGTCAGCTTTTCGGACTGGGCTAAAAAAGGAGATGCACCCATGTGCCACGAGTAAAGAGGAACTCAGAATGTAGTTACTGACAGTTTTTGGCTGTGACGTCACCACATGCTTCCATCCCGTGTCCCTCGGGTGACATTTCGCCTGGTTATGGGCTATTTTTGGCACTCTGGGTCGGAGGCTTCAGATCTGGGATGACGATGATGCTCGCAGGCCTGGGATCCCACGGATACTCATCATATCATCTTCATTTACAAACAGTGCCAAGGCCCACGCTTCTTTCCTGTGGACTCGAGACTGAGTTGATCTTCATGGGAAGGTTTACCTGAGGATTTCGCTAAGACCTCGATCCATGCCGACCTCTCGCACGGTGACCGTCGGATGAACGGTTCCTCAAGAGATGATTTGATTTCACAAATGCTGAGCCTTGTTTGTTGCTAAACAGTCAGTTCTCTGTCCCCCGGACGGTGTCAGAGGGAATTGTGATTATGGCAACAGAAGCCGCTGCCCTCGTTTCTGTTGAGCGTGGATAAAGTGCTGTGCCGTTACCTTTGACTCTGATAGGACGGGGTCCAAAAACCCCCTCACCCAGAACACTTTCACCTACTTTTCCACCTCATTGTGGTGTCAGGTTGTCCGTCGGTGTTGTTCGCTGAGGCGGATGCTCCTACGCTTCCTCTGCTCGACATTAACCTGATTTATGGACATCCTGTTGAGACTTAGCCGCTAACCTCGCACACGCACGCTGTAAACAACACGCTGGATTTGATGCGAATGACAGATTTTGAATTTAAACCTGAAACAGATCGAGCCGTTTTGCCTCTCAATTTTTTTGTTCGGGGGGGATCTGTTTCTTGCCCCGGCAGGATGCTGCGAACATCTTGGGCTGATCTGTTAAACGCATACTTCCCATCGGGCCTGGCGGTGACCCTTTGCTCCAGTAGCTGACAGCCGAGCCAAAAAAAACTCTGAATTTTGATCAACTGCAAACAGGTGTCATCGTTCGAATACCAGCTCGGGCTTTTATGGGCAAGATTGTTTCGTTTTAGACTCTCCAGCTTTAGCACCGTCGATTTAAACGAGCACAGCACAGTTTCCTTCTCCTGTTGAGCCTAAAATTGAGCGGAGATTTGAATTTTTTGCTTAGTTTATTCGAAATTCCCTCAGAAATCAATACAACCCGCCCTCAGTCCCGCTCTAGTGTAGACACACATAAGGCGTTCTGCTTGGCCTCTCTCACAGAGGTCAAGGGAAAGGTCTGAATAGTATTGTTGCGTGATTGGTGGGCCGCGTCTCCTCCCATCCAGTTGGCAGAGGCTGTATGGAGCACTTTGTTCTCGCATAGGATGGTTGGGATTCCCTCGACGGGACGAATCCACAGACACACACAGAAAAAAAGGATGGGCCGCGCACAGTGATGTCATTCAGCAGGGAGCGGTCAGCCGTTAAGAAACACTGTGTCAGGTCTGCCCAGAGGGAAGGTCATCGCAAAGTGTGCGGCGGGATTTTCACACTTGACCGATCGGCAATTTTTCTCAATTTACAACTTCCCTCCGCTGGCCCGCGTGAGCTTTAAAACAGGCTTTTCATCCGATCCCCTCCATGAAAAGGAGTCAAATCCTGTTGAGTTCAAAAGGCCTCATCGGTCAAAAATTAACGACACAGTTGGGATATCCTTGAAAAGTAACAAATCCCTTTAGGACAACGGGACACGCCATGTTTTTGGCTTCACTTGCTGCTCATCTGCATTTCCCACAGAATGTTTTTCATATTTGGAAAAAAATAGAAAAATGAATTCTAACTCAGGGCTGAACTTCTGTGACCTGAAAAAAAAAAAGCTTTTTTTTACTGAAATGGTTTAGCAGAAATTCACAGAGAAGTCCCTAATGGAGAAAAATGTATTTAATTCCACCAAGGCAAAGATGTTGCGTCCCATTTCTTGGTTGAATTATGTTTCTGGCAACTCTGAAACAGCTGATTGAATTGGTGACCCTTAAATTTGGACACTTAATTGCCTTTGAAGCATCACTTTCTCCCACGTTGAGTTAAACCTCCTGTAGCTGTTTTTTGTCTTGATATATCAGACACAGCTTCTCTGTAAAGGCTAAAAAACACCCAGCCATTTATACTCCATCAGTTTTACGTTAAGTTTCCAACTCAACCCCTTTTCTTTTCTCTGTCTAAACCTGTAGATCGAACGTTCAAACGACAGCTGTCAGGTGGAATAGGAGCAAGTTAAACCTGCTTCAGAACACTCATTTGTCAAAAATAGAAACAAAAATAGGGAAAAGGACGCTTATCAGGCACCAACCAGTCAGAGGCATTAACCGATAGCAGTGAATCCAACAGAAAGGGGATAATTATCTCAGGATTTGGGGAATGGTTTGACTTTAATGTGCAGCTCTGATTAGGAACACTCGTGTTTTTGGAGCTGTACTTTTATCGCTCATGTGCCTCCACCAGCCCGGAGGAGAAGCCGGGGAGACATTTAGCTGCCGTCACGTTCGCAAATCCATCCAAAGGACTTTGATTTGAGTCAGGAAACGGCTGAAAACGAGCTAAACCTTTGATGTAAAAGAGATTAAACAACAGTCGGGGACCAGACACGAACAGACACCCGATCGGGAGCGCTCCGGTCTAAAGGGGAATTCTGCTCTCTTTCCTCAGGACCATCTACATGGACTTTGAAAAAGACGTGGAGGTGAAGGGAATCCCGGCCTACCGCTTCACGCCGCCGCGCTCGGTGTTGGCCAGCAAGGAGGAGAACCCTCTGAACGAGGGCTTCTGCGTCTCCCCCGGCGAGTGTCTGGGCACCGGGCTGCTGAAAGTCAGCCCCTGCAGGAAAGGTATGCCTCAGGGATCCGTCCCACTACTCTGCTCTTTCTGCTAGGGGCCAGTTTTTGAGGTTTCTGTCATACACCTTAAACTAATTCCCCCCTCCTGAGGGACCCATGTGACACAGCTCTCCAGGCTCTGGCATTAAGCCCCGTCACATGGTTCTGCCCTTAACTGTGACCGGACTTTATCTCAGCGGCCCCGGTCAGAGCGCAGTTGTCTGAACCAGAAAGGCAAAAATATGCCGCCGATTTCGGGGCGTCGTTCCGAACATCAGGCCCTCTTTCTCCGTCTTTTTCCAAGGCTGTGAAGCAACAGATTGCTTTGCTAGGGCAAATAATAATGACTCTGGGAAGCATTAAAGAAGATATCGTGGATTGGAAGGAGAGAAACATCTTTCTTTGTACGGGGAAATGAACCCGAGCCAAAGCTCGTATTTTTCAGTTTTATAATTCCTGTTCTCTATTTTTATTTCTACATTTTATTTCCTTCCTTGCTTCTCATAAACGTGTTGTGCACCAAACATCAAGGCAAATTCCTTGTAAGTGTTAAAAACCTACTTGGCAATAAACCTTATTTTGATTCTGATTCTGATTAGCTTACTGCTATTTGCTGGTAAAATGAGAAATAATTTCCCACCTCTGGTGAGATCTGGCCCTTCTGAGCTCACTTTACCCACCAACAGAGATTATCCCGAGAGGGGAGTATGTACGGGGTTTAGGACGAGGCGTTTAGGGAGTGAAAACCGTTGTGGAGGTCACCCAGACGCATACAGATTCAGCTCTGTGTGTGTGTGTGTGTGTGTGTGTGTGTGTGTGTGTGTGTGTGTGTTTGTGTGTGTGTGTGTGTATGTATGCCCGTGACCTTGTGTGATCAGCTGACCGCGGGTGTCCAGTGTCTGTTGCCAAACACAAGCAGAGGAAATCCATCACCTCTGCCCCACTTCATCACCACCTCTCGAACTAAGCCTCCTCCTTAATGTTTCTGCAGAATCTCTTGTTTACTTGTTTTAGCCCGAGTGTGCGAGTGTTCCTCCCAACCGATGTAATCTTTTAGTAGTGGCTCCATTTAACAATATGAGGAAGGACTTTATGTGACGTCACGAGTTCCTTTATCCAGTAATTGGGAAGAGGTCGATTTGTGGTCCTTTGTTTTTCCTGAATCTTTTGTTGTCACGCGCCATGTTGAGGTCGGTGACTCCGAAAAGCCTTTTTCCCGCGATACGATCGAGCACCAAACAAAAGAAAACACGCAACTGTAATGTTCCCTGGGAGGATGTTTTTGTTCTTCACACCATCGTGGTTTTGATCCTTATTTGTGTCCCAGTCACTGAACGTTAAGCTGTTAAAGACACAGACGATGCGATGTTTAATTGAAAACTAATCAGAGGGCTGCAATGGGATCAATTAGGAATTTTTAACACATGTAGCATTCATGAAATTTATCACCTTTAACATTTATCATAAATCACGATGTGAATAATCATTCCAGCTCTGGGAAAGAATCAAAAAGAAATAAAAAAATGTTCCCGTTTGCTGCATATTTGCAGCCTAATAACACAAATGTCAGCATTTTCTCAGCGTCAAACAAAGCTTTTCCTGTTGTTTCCCAACTTTTCCACTCTGGTTTGGAGCACACGAGGAGTTTTCTGCCAGCTGGAAACAGACATAATCTCATCATTTTGTGTTTGTGTTTGCAGGCTGTTTTCATTCGACTTCTTTGGTGCTTTCATTTCCCCATCTTTTAGCATTACGACTGCTGATTAAATGTTTTTTACTGCGTTATACATGCACAGCTTTGCTACTTTTGGGCCACGATGACCTTCATACTCTCATTACAATCCTCTCCTTTCTCAGGTGCCCCGGTGGTCGCATCCTTTCCTCATTTCTTCCTGGCAGACGAGAAATATGTGCAGGCCGTTTCGGGACTTTCCCCCAAAAGGAAGCATCACCAGACATATCTGGACCTCAACCCTGTAAGCCTTCAGCCCACGGCTCATTTTTCAGTTTTTTTTAATCGCTTTGATTTGTTTTTTACACTTAAAATGAGTGATGTAGACCTTGTACAGGGTGTGAAACCTCAAGAGTCTCTAAAAAGGTGCAGCTCCACCATCTAGTGGTGGTCAAGCGGTAGCGCAGAAGAAATTAGCATCGTCCTAAAAAGCTGCCCTGAATCCCTAAAACATTCTTTGTTTCTCTGACAGACCACTGGAGTGATTGTGCGGGCAAACAAAAGAGCACAGGTCAACATCCTGATCAACAGAATCACCGGATTCCCGTGAGTATTTGTATTTGAACAGACTTTATCACAGCAGATAAACTCAAGAGTTCACCATAACTGGTATTCTCCCTCTTTTCTTCTCTTCTGCCGAACAGGAAAACCCGAGGCCTGAACGACACCGTCTTTCCTGTGATGTTCCTCAACGAGGTTAGTGATCGAAAGATGTCATCAAAGTTTTCAGAAATATGCTTTGGGAAGATTTGCTGATAGTTACATTTTTACGACTAAAAAGCACAAAAAGACACTGGCAAAGTCCGGTCAGCTTCTCCCCATTTCCACTCTTAATACCAAGCTGTGTTTCCTTGGAGTCAGGGTTCAGGTTTGGAGCTGAAAGCATTTAGGTTACATTTTTAAATTGTTATCCATTGTTATTATCCATTGTTATTGCACCCCTGATTCTGGTTAAACTGATTTATTCAAAACATTGTCGAGCTTCACACAGTCCTGCTAACAGCTCACTGATGTGAATCAGGGGTATTAAACAGATAAACACGTAAAACCTGCAGGAAAGAGGCCCTCGAGGGCCAAACACAGTGTTTATAAGCCCTGGTTTTCAGATTTCCTGCCCCTGCACCCATGATTTAAATGAACATCAGCCTTTATTTTGGACTTTTTCTGCTTTCTGCTGCTTCCAGAGCTAAAGAGTTGCCCCGTTTGACCTAAAAATATCACAATTCCACCCAAATCTAAAAAATTGATCGAGAGCCAGGAGTTGTGTAACTGGTGTGGGAAAAAAATCAGTAATAATCAATGAATTATTTCTAAAATTGAGTGATAAAATACAGGGATTTTGTAGCATAAGTTGATGTCAAGGGAAAGTTCTCAGAATAAAAAGCGCTGAGGCTCAAAAACACCTTTTAATCGAGGATGAATGCCAACTGCCAAACCACATGTATGCAATAAAGAAAGTGAATGGACTAAGTTCTGGACTACGATCTGTGGCACCGAACCGACCCATATTCCACCCGTTCTCTGACCACCACAGAGCGTGACGATCGATGACGCGTCGGCAGCGAGAGTCCAGAAGCTGCTTCTCATTTCCAAGATGGTGACCAACTTCCCTCTCATTTTCGTGGGCCTGGGGGGCATCCTGGTCCTCGTCCTCATCTTCCTCCTGGTCCGGGCCCACCAGCAAAAGGTCTGAAGCCTCTTCCCAACAAGCTTTATCCTAACATCTCGCATCCGGCTTATACGTAATTCAATACGTAATTTGTGGTAATTCTCATAATTCGTTCACTTGCTTAACCTCTCACTAATGGCACTGTGCATGTATTTATCACTGTGTATGTCCATGCAGAATGAGGTGAAGCGCTTTGTGTTTTCCAAGGCTGTCTATGCTGTAAGTCTTTATGGTGCTTTATTAAGTCTTTTAATTATTGCCTAAATGCATCATTTATGTGTTATTCACAACACACATACCATATTAACAGAGCTTGGTAACACTGAGGCTGTATAAGGACTGTACAAATGTCCCCCGTTTACATCTAAAAATGACACACCTATGAACGTTAAACTTTTTTTTGATCATACAAGTGACAGAAAAAAACTTTAAAATGGATTTGATCCTTTTTTTTTTCCTCCGCAGACCTCCGCTGAAGAAGATGGCTCCTACGCCCCAGTGAGCGACAAGGAAAAGGACGATCCCCAAAATGGAACCTACATTGGCTTGACACCCAAAAATGACCCTCAAGCTTGAGTTTTAAGGAGGGTGGAGCTTTTTAACACAGGGTGGGTGGATAGGGGAGCAGTTTTTAGTCTCCAACATCATGTATATGTTTTAAGTAAAAGACATGAAGGCAACCTTAAGTCCCAATTTAGAGAAGTATGTTTCCTGAGAAGTGTTCACATCCTTTGTAAAAAAAAAAACCCTGCCTGAAAGAGGATAAGCGTTCAGCTGCTTATCAGTTACATAAAACGATGGAAAATAAGTTGAAGTTCCACAACAACTTGAGATGCTGAGTGCACTTTTTAGTGATTTTATAGCAAACACAATTCACCCGACATGTGATACGTCCACCTCTGATTCTCGGCCCCCGTCCGGTTCCCACAGTGGACGTCACAAACTTGGCACAACGCGTCACGGTCGGGGGCAGAGAACTGAAATCTATACTTGTTTTTAGGGTATAACATGTCACTCTCAGGGGGTCTCTGCTTGGATGCTGTTAAACGTTTTTAAAGGAGGCAAATTTTTCTGGTTTTAAAGAAGTCAGTTCAGTATTATAACGTCTCGTTCACATTTCATCCTGAATGGAAAACATTTTTATGGATCATTACATGTTCATTCTTTTTAGAGTGAAGCACATATTTGCCACCTCATCAGAGAGAAATCGTCCTATTTTTTGTGTGTATGTATAGAAATGATGTGTGGAACTGCTTACATTCCTCTCAGGTCATGATGGGGATGGATAACAAACATATATATTTGATACTTTAGTCAGATGTAGTTTGGATTTTTTTTTTTTTTTTCTTGGAAATGAAGAGGAATGTGAATGTGGAACCTCTCAAGTTTGAGCCTCGCAAATGTCGTCTTGTGCCATGAAGAGCCAGAGTTTCGTCAGCCACCCAAAGCCCTGAACGTGGCAGGTTGTGTGCCCCTGTGTGTCTGCTTTTAGTATCTGACTGTTCAGGAAAAAAGGGTTGTAAATGCCGTAGTTGTGCCTTTAAATCCAACTGTCACTGGATTATTTTTGTTCCTGTTATAGTTTTTATCTTTGTTAAAAAAAGTGTGCCGCGCCATATCAACGATTTTACCCTCGGGTGTGTACTTTTTGCTTTATCTTTTGTTTTTGTGTTGCCAGCAAATGGCTGGTTTCCATGTGCCAATTAACCTAATGTGGAAAATCATGCTGGATTGCTCTTTTAACACTGTGACGAGCAGCACTTTCAATATTGCTCCTGTTGTTGTGTTATATCCACAACCGTTCGACAACTTCCCACCCTCTTATTAACCTGCGCGCCATAATAATATCAATGTCCATGTTAAGCTGTTGTGGATTTAACTTTTTCCGTTTGACTCGTTCTTTAATCCAGTGATGCACAATAAGAAGACTCTGAGGGACAAATGATGAGGAGAGTGGTGAAACTCTAGTTTCTGATGCAGAAAACACAGTATTATACAATTATAGTGTAGTTGTGCTTAAAGATGATAAATTATTTTTGTTTGATGAAACCAAAACACAGCAACACATGGCTACTTCGTGCCTTATCTTGATCGCAAACCGACTTTCTAAGATATTGTTACAGCTAAAACCACGTATTCCTCTGATTGCCTGCTTGTTTTGAAATGTTGACTGTTAATACTGTTTTTACTCTGTACACAGAAATAAAAAGTAGTTTCATTAGACGTGGCTGTCAGTTTGGTGAATTATACACTACACAGCTGATATACCGTACTTAAAGAGAAGAATGTGCTGTGAGTTTTTCAGAGTTAGCTCGATGTGGAAGGGGGGGCAAGATTCCAGTGTTGTAGGCCTGCTATAGCTTTCCATAAAAGGGGAAATTACTGGGCCCGTGTGACTGTGGATGCACAGTTTTATTTTGATCAGGGAAGCTAGGAAAAGCAAATGTGTTTGGCTCAACATTGCATTCAGACCATAATTCTGCTTGTAATGCTGGACAAAAAAGGGTTAAAACACAATCAATCTTTGTCTATCGCAATGGATCCTTTGATTTGGTGGTCCTCTGCTTGGTTTTTAAAGACTTAAGTGGGTTCTCAGAGAGCTTTCTCCACATCTTAAAATGTGTTTTCTGATAAAAGATTTAGATCATACAGCATCTTTACTTATGGTCAGCACATGCCTGTATGATAAGCACCAGACACATTTTTGTAATTTTACAGCTGAGGCTGTTACAAGTAGTAAATGTATATTTTACACAAAAAAGTATGCTTCCCCTATACTTTTTATTTGATCAAAGCTTGATATAAATGAAAAAAAAAAAAAAATTGGACGGAAATGGCCGTCAGTTCTGAAATTTTGGCTGTGAACGAAGTTGTGGACATTTTGGTCATAAGGTGCATTCTGTGTTTCGGCCACCAGGGGGGGCGTAATAAGTCATTCCCTAAGTAGAATCAAAACAATCGAAGAAGAAGGATTAGCGACCATAGTCAACATGGCGTTCAATTTTGGCGCTGCCACGGGTAACACAGCCGCAAGTAAGGGTTTTTTGGTCTTATATTTTGGGCAAAATGTACGCTACGTGTGCATAGAATAAAAATAACCGTGTTGTGTACGTGAAAAATAGAGGTAAATGGTTCGTCTCTAACTGCTGTTAAGCTACAGTTGGGTCGGCCTCCGGCTGTCGTCAAAGTTGAAGGAAAGAGCTTCACACTTTGTACCTTGATGAATTTTAATTAGTGTATCATGCAGAAAATGTGAAACAGTCGTTTCTTTTACTGAAATGGACTTTAAATTGCCTCTGCTTCTCGGGAGCAAAGCAATGCACAATGTACCTCCTTAGCTAGCAGGCTAACATCCGCAGTGTAGCAATGCCTGCGAAACCATCAAAAATATACCTATAAACAGATTTCACCATATGATCCAAACACCAGCTTTTATAACAATTTAGTCCTAAAGGTGCTATGTGTTTTCTTTTGAAGGCACATCGGGGTTTTCTTTCGGTTCATTCGGTGCTAAGACAACAGCAACCACCACCGCCTCATCCGGATTCGGCAGTAAGTCCAAAGCTCTGATGCACAATAAGAGCTATTCCTCTCGATACTTCCGGACTTTCCCAGCTTTAGACATCCTAGTTCGCTATATCCTTCCTTTCCTTTAAGATATGGGGACCTCTAGTCCTTGATTCCACTACGAAAAAAAGCCTGGTCCTCAGGACGCACTCCACTGGACACACTTCCTCCAGAGGAATCTCCATCAGCCTCCTGGGAGCTTAAACTTTAACTCAAGAGTGCATTCAACTACCTCAATCTGGTGTTCTGGAGCTGGGAAACATTAAAAACATGCAGGACGTTGTGTCCTGATGACCAGGCTTGGGAAACGCTGCCATAACCCTTTTCAAATAAAGATGTGGGTCCAATGGATTACAGCTTTATAATCCTAAACTCTTAAAATGGAAAATTGAGCTCTGTTTTTAGTCTTATACTCTTTAGGATTTAACCTTCTTCTTAGTAAATACACCTTAGGACTTTGTAAAATGTAAAAACAACCAAAACAAAATGATAATATCTAAACTTTAACTTAAGGTTAAAACGTTTCCTTTATACAATGTCCATTTAAAACCGTCGTGACCGCTGCTCAGGGGAGTGAGCGGTCAATGGAAAAGGTGGTGGTTTTATTCAGGCTACATGTGGACGTGTCCTTTGGTAAGACGCTGAACCCCAAGTTGCCTAAATGTCTGTATCCTGATGCTTGTAAGTCGCTTCAGGTAAAGATGTCTGCTGAATACACAAATGTAACTTATTTTCCTTAATTCCTCACTGTGTTATAAGCTCAATTTATACTTTTCTGCCAGCTGAGTACAGTCTCATTCTTAAGGATTTTGTTCTAAGAAAAGCCACTCAATAGTGATGTTTTTGCCCTGTGAGAATTGTTGTTGTTTTATTTGTAAACAGGTTTCACAGATTTAGTCGTTTTAGATCCTCCCCACAAACAAAAGAGTGGCCTCATGGGAAACATTGTGCCCGCTCAGAGCTAAAAAACAAAGTAACTTGGCAGTAAAAAAGCACGGACTTGCTGAGAGTGTAAGCAGTGGAAAGACATTGAACTTTACCGTTTTGTTCTGCTAATACAAAGCCACGTCGCTCTTATTGTTGCTGGTTCTTTTTCCTGAAGGACTCGTGTTCTTTTTGTCTTCACGCCCGCTGCTTGTTTGGCTCCCTCTCCATAGCTCTCACGGCTCCTGGCTTTGGCACAGCCACCACCACTGCCGCTGCACCAGCCACAGGATTCAGCTTCGGCTCCACCAACACAGGTAACGCACACAAACAGCCTTTGTGCTGTAGCTGTTTTCTGTACACTGGCCTCTGATTATAGCCGAGTCCCTGCTGGGTGTGGATTGTCACTTAACCCCTTCGTGTCGCTCTTCTCTTTCCTGCTGCCGGGCGGCTTTGGCTGCAGGATTTGGGGGGCTAGGAGCCGGAGGCACCACGGCTGGTGGGTTTAGTTTTGGGGGGTTCGGTTTAAATGCCACCCCAGCAGCAGTCAGCTTTAATGTGGGGTGCTTTGGTACAGCAACCACAGCTGGCACTGTTTTCAGTTTTGGTAATAGCCTGGCTAGCACAGGTAGATGACCTTTGTGATTCTGTACATTCTGTCTGTACTGATCTGCGTTTTCATCCATTCTTCACCTCCATGCGACACCAGTAATGTTTTTTTTTTCTGCCTCACTTTGTGATTTTTTCAAAATCAGAACTTTTGTTGTTGTTTCCATCTGCATGAAGTATTGAATTATGCATTCATTTCATTTGATTGTGTGGAGAGTTTGCACATTTTCACCTGTGTGTCACAGGATGCATGCTTGATGAAAAGCAGATGCTAATTTCCTTTTAATTAATCTTAAAAAGTTGTCATGATAATGCTTCTCTTATATGTCAGTTTACCCGTTTTGTTCTGTCATTCCATTTTGCGTTGCCCATGTTACAGCATCTGCCCTCACTGGCTTTGTCCTCAGGCACATTTGGTGGTTTTGGGACCTCTACAACCACCGCTGCTGCTCCGGGGTCCTCCTTCAGCTTCGCCGGCCCCTCCAACACTGCAGGTCAGTGACCGGTCAGCCTGCAGCTTTTGGGAGCCTGGGAAACTTATAGCTGTACCAAATGTCCAGGAAAAATTATCCCTAAAATGTCACACTCAATATTAATTCTTCTCTTTAGATGTTCAGTTTGTTATTTAGGCCCAAAGGTTTCGCTTTGCTAGCTTTCCCCCTTTGAAAGCTGTCTGCAGAAATAGTATTCCAGGCTTTCTGAGGGACTTTTTCAAAGTTTTATTTTTGGATTTGCCCTGTTTTATGACCAGTTTCTCTGTCTAATGGCTGAAATTTACTGAGGTTGTGTACAGATATGACAGTGTGAAAAAGTTCAAATGTCTATGAAAAGAGAGGAGAAAATGTTAACAGTGACAGAAAATTGCATTTTTTATGGGGGGTTCCCAAAGAGCTATTAGCTGAAAACATATATGACTCACCATAGTCTCAGCATCCTTAAAGCATTTGAGGAAACTGGACAAGTGGAGGACAAGAGTTGGACCTAAAGTCCAACTAATGTCGTTAAGAAAGAGGAACAAATCCAGCAAAGAAACAGAAGCTGAGAGATGCCTCTGGGCCTCATCACACATGCTCTCCATGGAGGAAGCCATTCTTAAGGAAGGGACACAGGGAGGAAAGAAGCTTTCCTGAAGACTTGTGTGCAGTACTGTATTCACCACAAGATGTCCCACTCTGTCCAGACAGAACTCAGCCCGAGCTGATGTCTTTATGAGTGTTTGTCCTCACCGTGTTTCTCCCCCAGGAAGCCTGTTCGGTAACACACAGAACAAAGGCTTTGGCTTCTCCTCTGTACTTGGGGCTGGCGCCAGCACCGGGACCACGGGGTTCGGGGCCGGATTAGGGACGACCGGCCTCGGGGGGTTCGGAGGCTTTAACATCCAGCCAGCGCAGCAGCAAGGTGAGACCCCCCCCCCCTCCGGCCCGACTGCTATCAGCAGCTACTGAAAGAAAAACCTTTGAGACGAAACCTTTGCCCTCCCCTTCCCCATGTCCAGCCAGCTTGTTCGGCCCCCAGGCCCAGCAGCCCGGTCAGGCCCAGTCCACCCAGCTCTACCAGCAGGTCAGCGCCCTGTCGGCCCCCACCCTGCTGGGCGATGAGCGGGACTCCATCCTGGCCAAGTGGAACCAGCTGCAGGCCTACTGGGGCACGGGCAAGGGCTTCTACAGCAACAGCAACCCCCCCGTGGACTTCACCCTGGAGAACCCTTTCTGCCGGTTCAAGGTGAGACCGGACCGGACCGGGCTGGACCGGACAGTCCCCGAGCTCTGCTGTTTGGTTTTTCTTTTTTATTCATGTTTTTATTCATGTGACAAGGTCAAGATGAAAATACGGATTTTTTTTTTTTCATTTTTACAAAAACAACAACCCCTCATTCCCTCCCTTCCCCAGCCCTCCCCAATCCTCCAAGATTTTGCTACAAATCAGTAATAACCCACATCCTTCCTTCTTACCGTACAAAAACAAGTGAATAAAAAAAAGTATATAGACAATTAAAAAAAAAGAGAGAGCAGCAAGTGCAACACAAATAAACAAACAGAAAACACCACAAAACAAAACTTGAGAAGTAAAATTGTCAATGGGCCGAGATGAAGCGGGGAGGAAAAGAAAATGCAATCAAAAGTCCTGCAGTGTCTGCCGTTTGTTTTTTTTATAAACGTCCGGACTCCGCCCTCTCCCCCCCCCCCCCCCCCGGGGGGGGGCCCCCCCCGCCCCCCCGGGCCCAAGGCCGGGGCCGCCCTGGTGGTGTTGCCCTTGAACAAGAAGGAGGCGGAGGTGCGGGCGCAGCAGCAGCAGCTGGTGGAGTCGCTCCACAAAGTCCTGGGCAACAACCAGACGCTCAGCGTCAACGTGGAGGGCGTCAAATCGCTGCCCAGCGACCAGTGAGTTCCCGTGACGATGGCCCAGAGCCCCCGTTTCCCCCCTTTCTCCTAAACTCTCTCTCTGCTCTCAGGACGGAGGTGATCATCTACGTGGTGGAGCGCTCCCCTAACGGCACGTCCAAAAGGATCCCGGCCAGCACCCTGTTCGGCTACCTGGAGCAGGCCAACGTGAAGGGCCAGCTGGCGCAGATGGGCGTGGCCATGTCGGTCACGCGCACCGAGCTGTCGCCCGCCCAGCTCAAGCAGCTGCTGCAGAACGCCCCCGCAGGTAAGCGGCCACGCCCCCACACCCCCCCAACCCTCGCCCACGCGGCCCTACAGCTAGCTGAGGTTGTTGTGTGTCCCCCCCACTTACAGGAGTGGACCCCATCATCTGGGAGCAGGCCAAGGTGGACAACCCCGACCCAGAGAAGTAAGCTGGAGAAAAACCTGGAGGCACAACTAGGGTTGTCCCGATCCAGCTTTTTTCACCTCTGATACCGATCCCGATCCCGGCCTATCAGAGCATGTGTTAAAGTCTAAAGTTATTTATCTACTTACTTAGTTGTCAGACTCATGTTGAACAGGGATTTACTCTGATAACAACTTAATGGTTAGGACACAGACCTGTGGGTTACAGATGCTAATGCTAATGCTCGTGCGGGATCGGACTTAAAAAAAAACTGGATCGGGGGTCTGGATCGGCCTTTTCTCCTGCTGGCCGATACGCAGTTTTTTGCGAATAACAGCCTAAGCACAACACACTTTTTCAAGCCACAGCGCCACAAAAACGAGCCTCTCCCCCGCAGGTTAATACCGGTGCCCATGGTGGGTTTCAAGGAGCTGCTCCGCCGCCTGCAGATCCAGGAGCAGATGACCAAGCAGCACCAGACCCGAGTGGATGTGGGTGCAAACGCCGCTGTTTTTATTTTAGACCGATTCTCCAAACCAAGTAATCTGAAGCAGCTTCTCGCCGTGTTAAAAACCACCCACGGATGTCCAGCTCTCATCTGGAATGTCTGTCTCAAATACAGCTGCAAGAAACACCTGTGGGGTCAGCGTTAGGCCTTACAGAGGCCTCCTGACCGTATGAAGCTTTTTGTTAGCTGCTCATTTCCTGCATGTGATTCATGTGGAAGCGGGCCCTGAGGGGCAGCGTTCGGGCTCTGAGCCAGGCCGTTAGACGGCCGGTTCAGGGCCTCCATACATGTGTGTCTCTCTAATTTCAACATAAACCAAGACAGACGTGTCAAATATGAGAGGGGAAAAATGTAGATGCACTAACAGGTTTCTTTCTTCCTGTTTTCACACACACACACTTGCAGATCATCTCCAGCGACATCAGCGAACTGCAGAAGAATCAGGCGACAACTGTGGCCAAAATCGCTCAGTACAAGAGGAAGCTGATGGATCTGTCCCACAGAGTGCTGCAGGTAGCCTCAGACATGCAGCTCTTTCTTTATGGGTATAAGATGCTAATGCAAATGTAGTCGAATGCCAAGATCCGAGAGCTTTTTTCCCTCAAAATTTGATTTAATTTGCCGTTTGTTAATCTCACTTAGCTGCTCGGCTTCTTATTCCATCTCATTTTAGAGTCCTAACACCGTTTTGTAAGAATTCCTTGAAGCTCAAGTTCCTTGAAGCTCAAGTTCTTGTTTTCCAGGAACAGTGAACTGTGATGATAACCATCTGTGCATTCAATCATATTCGAAGCCTTTTGGAAACGCTCTGCTTCACCATCCACATGTTTTCCTGGAAGGTGCTGATCAAACAGGAGATTCAAAGGAAAAGCGGCTACGCTATCCAAGTGGACGAGGAGCATCTGAGGGTCCAGCTGGACACCATCCAGTCAGAACTCAATGCCCCCACACAGTTCAAGGCAAGTTTGTGTCGAGGCTGGAGCGGCCGGTTCAGGCCGGGTAAAAGGCCTCCTCTCCTCACCGCCTCGGTTTCTCCCCTCCAGGGTCGGCTGAACGAGCTAATGTCCCAGATCCGGATGCAGAACCACTTTGGGGCTGTGAGGTCAGAGGAGCGCTACAACGTGGACGCGGACCTTCTCAGAGAGATTAAACAGGTGGGTCCAGAGCTTCACCATCATTCTGGGTTCCAAAACCCAGCATTGTGAGCGTTTTAAAAACAGAACGTCCCGTTCTCCTCTGTGGAACTGAACCCCTGCTGGCTTTTTTTCTCGAACCTTCAGCACTTGAAGCAGCAGCAGGATGGTTTAAGCCATTTGATCAGCGTCATCAAAGACGACCTGGAGGACATCAAACTCATCGAGCACGGGCTGAGCGACTCCGGACACATGAGAGGGGGCATCTTGAGCTGAGGCCACTCCACCGACGTGCACGCTCAGGCCCGTTTGAGTTTGAAATGTGATGCTTTTCTCTTCCTGTTCCGTCGGCACAATGATCCTAAAGCTTTAGGATTTGTGGGGGGGAGGGTTATCTGACAGATTCTATTAAAAGATCGATTTGAGGTTGTTTTTGCTTCCTTTTCACCGTCTTGGTAGGTTTGTCATGTACCCCCATATCTGTTCCAGCTAATTAATGAGAGCCGTCTGGACTGATATAGACCTCTTAACAGGGAGGCTCAACAGGATCTAATAATAGCCGCCTGCTTTTGTGTCAAAGCAGATTATAGATATGAGAGTATGAATGCATCGGGCATGTAAACAAGCTCTTGGATTAAGTGTGTCACTATTTAAAACTATGTAAATACATCTTTGTATTTCTTTTTTATGCTATTAGATTCTTAATAAATTTCATATGAACAAAAATAAATAAATCTGTTTTTATTGCATAAATGCAGCAATGGGAACAATTGTTTTAGATTTTTCTTTTGCGTCGGGTAAAATGTGCGCACCTAAAACTGGACATTTGGCTTTCTCTGTTCAGGTGATACTTGAACTTTCCTACACATCATAAAAGGAGGGTTTGAGTTGATAGGATTTATGCCCTGGATACACACCCCTCCAAGCATGAGAAGACTGACAGGCAGTTGAACTGATTAGGCAGATTTCAGACAGATTATAACCCCTCATGAGTTGGGAGGGCATAACGTCACATTCACAGGGTCTGAATTTCTTCCAGAGCACAAGTCTGTGGAGCAAGTGGCCACTTATATTCAAAACCTAACCCTAAGCTTCACCTCAACAAACTGGAAACTGTTTACAATTTATAGATCTAGAAGCCAAAACTAAGGATGACAATTGTCTGGGCACTGGTCATTGAAAAGGGCCATCATACATACATATATATATTTTTATAAAAGTACTTTTTGGTCTAAATCTTGTTAACATGTGTTTCATTTCATCCTTTTGACAAATCAGTGTTTCCCTTTAAAGCCACAGCTGTCATTAGTAACATCATTTTATTCACCCTCTAAATCTACAGTCATCAATTTACAGACAACCTTTGAAATACAAAAAAATAAAGGTGGTAGAAAAGCTAGGAAGAGGTAGAAAATACCTATGTTACTCCTGAATAAACGAGGTGCCGGCAGCCTATGCGTTTGGTCACGTGTTTCTAAGCGGTCAGTCTTTGGGGGACACGTCTCCAGGTCTAAACCGGGACCTCCACGGAGCCGCTCTCAGGCTGCCAGGTGTGCGCCGACAGGTCCACCAACCGGAAGGCCTCCATGAACTCGTTGATGTCGATGCTGCCGTCCTTGTTGAAGTCGATGCTCTGGGCCAAATCCGCGATGGCTTTGTCGCTGATCTCCATCTTCAGGTGGGAGCTCAGGAGCTTCCAGGTCTGACGGAACTCCTCAAACGAGATCAGACCTGTAGGAGGAACCAGCGGGTTTCACATCAGCTTCATTCACCATGAAAACCTCAAATGAAATCCCAAAGGACGCTGATCGTGAGTAGGGTTGTCACGATATTAAATTGTTCAACTCGATACCGATACTCAGGAAAATACTCAATACCATTTTCGATACCACAAGGATAAAAACAAAGACCCCAAAATTTAACTGAATTTTGACAGGTTAGTATCTTTGGTTTCAAAATGACCTGTTACTGATGTTATCGTGGCTGGTGGCCTGCATTAATGACCCTAACCCTAACCCTGACCCTAACCCTAACCCTAACCCTAACCCTGACCCTAACCCTCCACCCTTCATAATAAATAGAGAAATAAATATTTTTTGGTTAAACTTTTTTGGACTTATTGTACAAACCTATTTAACATCCACTATTTTAACATAATATTATGTATAGAGTTTAATTCAGTGTTTGTAAGATTAATTTCACTATTTTTAAATTAATGTCTATATTGCCATGAGGCATTACCATTTTCTTGCCTGGGATCTTCCTATTGGTGACCTAATCAAAATGGCCGACTTGGATGTGGGCGGAGTTGGATATGTACTTGACTAATGGTAGCCTTTTATCATTAGCCATTAGCCGCAGCTAGCAGTACAAGGCTAACATCTTGTTAATGAGCATAAACAACGTAAATAAATACATAAATAAATCTGGTATCGATACTTTTGAAAAGTATCGATACTAAAATGTTGTATCCGGATACGATACAACATTTTAGTATCGATTCTTTTTTGAGTATCGATACTTTTGACAACCATAATCGTGAGCCACTCACCTGAGTGGTCCGTATCGATTATACGGAAGATGGTTTCCAGGTTGGAGTGGTTTTTGTACATTGTCTCCAGGATACTTGTGTCTGACACCTGTTAGGGGGAAAAACAGAAACTTTGAGTTGCCTTCCAATCCCCCTCACCCTCTCTGTGAGCAGCTTATGTAGTCAGGAAGGGGGAAAGAGCACCTCCAGTTTGGGCTCCGTGATGGAGAGCTCCCGTATCCACTGCTGATAGTCCACCATGCCCTGCTGGGTCCTGCTGACCAGCTGACCGCGCAGAACCCTCCAAGGCAGACCCAGCTTCAGCACGCTCTCCGTGGCCGTGGCCCAGTTCCTGAGAGAAATCAGCCCTGCGATGCACACAGGAGGGAGGTGAACTCCTGTTCCTGGGTTTGGACGAAGCCTAAAGCCAGATGTTTGGGGTCTACCTGTGTTGTTGGTGTCAAACATCTGGAAGGCACTGATGAGGTCCGACTTGTGGACAAACAGCTGCTCCCTAAGGGCCCTCAGGGCCGATCTCTCCGTCCACCCGACACTAAAAAGAACAGAGGAAAGCCCAAATATTGAGCGGTCAATGGGGAGGAAGTTCCTACTGGGGTCTACCACATGGACAAATCTCCTTGTGGAGATCTGGAGTGACTTTTGGCTTTAGCACCTTTGTCTCAGGGTGAGTTCCCGGCAGGTCCTGCTGGCCTGGTACTGAATAAAATGCGGGACCAGATCAGAGCCCATCCTGATGTAAGCTCCTCTGTTGCTCCCCACTTCGTAATAGTTGGAGGCCGAAAATATCGTCAGCACCTGAATGACCCAATGAGAAAAAACGACCTGTTTCCGACCACTGATCGGTGATTCGAATGGCTGTGTGTTCCCGCTCACCCTGTGGTTGTGGCAGAACTCGTAGCCGTCCTGCTTGCACTCGTGCGAGCGGATGAGGAGCTGGAGGTTGTGGCGTCCCAAAACCTCCTCGGTGACGTCTGGCCCCCAGTAGCAGCCCCCGCCTCGCACCTTGTTGGGAACGCAGCCGTTTTGGGGCATTGGGTCACTCCACAGCAGGTCCACTATCTGTGTGGAGGAATGAACTGTGGTAAATCTGACTCCCACGCAGCCAACAATACAGATGGAGGGAAGAGTGGATTCAGTAAAAAATTTACTCAGAAAGCTAGAAACTTGGAAAACTTTTTCCAACTGTCCAACAATCTAGTGATCTTTCCCATGGTCTTTTACAATCCCCTAAAGTCTAAAGATCCACTGGAAAAACCTAGATTAAATTCAAAGCTACAAAAAAACAATGTACTGGAAAATGGGAAATACAAATGAATACTCTACATTGTCTACCAAGAGTGATTCAAACCTAATACACCTAATATTATAACCATGTAAAAGACCCAGACTAAGGCTCATTACCTTTTCAGGGGACAACAAAAACTAGAAATATCAAGTCAGGAAATGAGGAAATTCTGCACCTGAAATGCAAATCCTCTGGTTGACACCCACCTGTTTCCATTCATGGCCGTCTTTTTCCGTCACTTCCCCAAACTCTGGGTCCGAGTCGGAGTCCGATGGCTTCGTGTCTCTGTAGGACTGGTTGAAACCGGCCAGTCGGCGCCTCTTCCTGAGCTCGTCCTCCACGGAGTGGTTCAGCGGGCCGCTGACCGGCAGGTCGTGGAGCGAGCGCCTCGGGGGGGCGCTCCGCTGAGCCAAACCGGACCTGTGGTCGGTCAGAGACCGCACCCGTCTGCGACCCTCTGCTGGTCTGCCGGAGTCCCCGTTCCGGCCGCTCATTGTCTTGCTGTCATCCACAACCTGACGGACCATCTTAGGAGGCCTCAAGACGGAAACGTACTGAACACATTAAAAGACACAATACACACGATTCATTTTATTTGTTCCAAATGTTACAGTTTTACTTGGCTTGAAGGCCTCTCTTACTCTGTGTCTGTCCACTTTGGCGACTATATTGAGGTCTGTCGAGTTAGAGATGCCTCCGTGCACGACTAGCACCTTGTGGTTGATCACCGTGGCAACCGGCAACCAGCTGAAGATCTTCTGGAGAAGCTTCAGTATCTTCTTGCCATGCACCTACAGTTTGAGTCTAGTTAAAGAATTGTTAAGAATCGTTTTTTATAAAGAATGCTTAAACAGAGCTCGAGACTTACCCTGTACTTCCCCATCACTTCTTTAGTGAAGCCATATCTGGAAAGGACACATTACAGTTAACCAGGTTATTAAACCCTAAAAGACCAAGGATTCTGTGTAAAATCTAAAAGAGAAGAGAAAAATTGATCTATTTTCAAAGATGGCAGTGTGTGCCTTAGTTTACCTCAGGTTGACAATGTGGTCCTCATGGTTCCCTCTGTTCAGATGCACATCATTGGGGTAAACCAGCAGGAATCCAAACAGGATGAGCAGAATCTCTAAAGAGCTCTTACCCCGATCCACAAAGTCTCCGTTAAAGACAAACGGTTTCTCGGACGACGGTAAACCATTCTGGACGGTTCAAATTGAGCCAGTTGGATTGAGTAAAAAAAAAACGACTGGATATATGATGGTCTGTGTGTTTTGAATACCTTATAAAATATCAAAAGCAGATCCTCAAGCTGCCCGTGCAAGTCTCCTGAGAAACAATAATTCAGGATTAATTAACCGTTTGAGTGTTTGGAGAATGATTTTTTTTAAAAGCATGAGGAAAAAGGTGTGAAAAACCTCAGAAAGGCATGTTTGGGCATACCACAGATTGTGATCTCTTGGGGAAGGCTGACAGAGACATAATTTATGTTTGGCAGAACTCTTAGCAGCCTCCATGTTTCCCCGAGGATCTGCAGAACGTATCGTGCGTGGAGCTGCTACTGGGAGAAAATAGGGGTGGTAGAAAAACAGGCAGCGCTTCCATGTAGCCATTTCTGCTTTGATTGTCTCTTAATTGCATGTTCTGTCCCAGTATACCTACTTGTTTTTGCTTAAAAGCCTCCACCAGTTTTGACACCCCACAGAAAGTCATGGGGAAGGTTAGATGGGGTCCGGTGTAGCTGTCAGGTACCTCGATGCCCTTGTAGCAGAAATATTTCTCCCATTCGGTTTCTCGGCAGATCTCATTTTCATGGAAGATGTGAGATATTAGGTTTCCTTTATCAAAGACAAAGGAGAGGTGTGTTGTGATGGTTGTGTGTTTTAAATAGATGAGTTAAATAGATTGTAGTGACAGTTGCTGACTCACTTTCACTGCTGGCTGGGGTGAAGTGGTCCATCAAAAAGCCAAAGAAACTGTAGAGCTGTGGGAAGAAAAATGGGAGCCATGAAATTAAAAACTCGGCTTTACAAGAGCAAAAATTCATGCTCATCTACAGTTAGCTGTGGCAATGAAGCAAAGCTGATGCAAAACTGGTAAGTAACATATTTACCAGATTACTGGGTGTAAAACAGTTTTAAAAATATTTTGTCAGCATGAGGGAAACAACAAAGTTTAAAGTCTCTATTAGGTGGTTGCAAAATTAATGGGCAATTAGCAAGATTTTTCCTCACTGGCTTATATTTGGGTAAATTATCTTGTCCTAAACAAGGAAATTCATAATGTGCAAAATGACCCTCTGATATTGGACCAGTAATTTTGATTGTAAAATAAATGTTTTGTGTGAAAAGACAAAATATATGAAGAGAACTTACCAACTGGTGGGAAAAATTGACAATATTTGTATTGAATGATATGAACTGAAGCCGTTAAAACCATAACATCCATTTTTCCCCCATGTCCTCTGATTTTAACATGCAAAATGGGATGATAACACCAATTCTGTGTAACAACCTTTATCTGATCCTGCTCTCCTGCATATTCAATAGACTGGAAGATGTTCCAGGTGCACCTTCGTCTCATCTCCAGCCGAGCGACATACTGACGGTACCACCGCTGGATCAATAGTGCTGCTCGCATTGCTAAAAAACAGAGATAGTCAAAATACAAATGGCTGGACATGGTAAAAGTAGACAGCTCTTTAGTTGCTAATCTCTTCTTGGGTCATCATCACTTTTTAGATCAAGTCTTTTAGATCAGCTAATCACACAATCTTTCCTTCCACTTAATTAAATTCAGTTTTTAAAACAAAAACATACCTGTTGCAGCTTCAAGGGGTTTGTGAAATGTAGATGTAAATGTAGATTTCATAAGTTACCAGGAAAGAAAGGAGAGTTTATTAACAGGTCTGAACACAAGTTTTTTTAAACAGCAATGTTGAGGTGAAAAAAATTAGAAATACCTGGGCACTGGGAGATGCTGACTGAAAAGGCCAAAACATAAACAGACAGTTTTTAAAGTTTCTGAGTGTTTCAATGTAACTATATTAATTACAATAAGTGACGTAAAATGTGCACCTTTGTCACATTTCTCCTGCTGCAGCTTGGATTTTCCCATGCCACATCCCATGACCCTTTGCTGTTTTCACTGTTAGAGACAGCAAAGCTTTCATGTGTGATCCTGAGACATGTGACCTTTTTTATGAGAACAGATGCGAACCGAATGATGTGTAAAATATTTGTCATCTCACAGCAAATCAATATAATTCTATCTTTAAGACAGGTTTAAACAGTATTAGGAACATAAACAATTACTAATCCAAAAAGACATTGACATGAAAAAGACATGAAAAAACTGTAATGGAAAAAGCTCTTTGGATTTTGCTTTCATTTCTGAAACATCCGGCTCATTCCACAAAAACTCACCTCTCGATGTCACCCGTCTTTCATCACCATCTCCAGCTTTATTACCTTTTTTTTTTAAATGCCTCAGCTGTCCACAGCTTAATTTTCCACAGCAAAAGAAAAGAAAAAAAGAAAAAGAGGCGGAAATATACGATGTGTTATCTCTTGTTTTCCATTGCCTCTGCACAACAGTGAGCTCGATCTCTCTGCGGTTACACACTCTCTGCCATCACAGGCGCATTCTGGCTCGTGTTATCACTTACACGAGACAAGATGCAAGTGGATTAGGATTAAATCTTACTACAGCTGGTAGCTATGCTGAATAAACAGAAGGAGACTCTGTTAAAGGGCAGCAATGGCTTTAAAAGGCAGCTGATTTAATCATCATTGTGAGTCATAAGAAAACAATTCCCTCATGGGCCCAAACAAAGCATGAAATACACACACACACATAGATAGATAGATAGATAGATAGATAGATAGATAGATAGATAGATA